TGAGCCTGTGGAAAGTGCAGGCGCCATGATCGGCTGCTTCCCGGCAGGCAGCAGGGCAAGGGCCGCCTGGAGCTCGTTAGGCACAGCCTGGGCCCTCCGCGGAGCGTTCCCGGGCTCTGACTCAGCTGGGAAGGCCTGACTCAGCCCCTCCAGCTCTGCAGCCCCCAACCCTCTGGAGTCGAGCGGGGCCCCCAAACCTCAGGGTTGCCGTTGGTTGGATGCCCCGGAAGGGAAGCGGGAACGAGAGGGTCAACGCGCCCCCGCCCTGCCTGTGTTTGGAGGGGAGCTTCCGCCCAGCGGTGCTCAGGGGGCACTCCTGGCTGGCAGGGCTGGCTCAGGGGGCCTATGGGATGCCAGAGACTGCGTGTGGGCGCTCGGCCCCACCTGCTTGCCTTACAGCTATTTTATGCGCCACACCTGTGGGTGCTCGGAGGCCAGCCCCGGCCGTGCTCAGGAGTGAGCCCCACTGGTGCCAGCTAAGCACCTGCCTTGGGCCAAGGGGGGTTCCGTCTGACTGTGACAATCTCTGCAGAGAGGGAAGTGCTGTGTGTGCGCGTGGGAGGGCCACGTGCCGATGGCCACGGGGGTCTCCGGAGGCCGAGGGCCGGCTGTAGAGGACGGGACGGGCACCCCTTCGCCGCCACCCCACGTGGTAGCCTCCTCCGGATGATGACGTTCTCTCGTCTCATGCCCAGGCGCACCTGAGACCATTGTTCCTCCTTGGTGGGGTTTCTTGTTCGCTTCCTCGGTTCTGGAACGCGCTCGGCTGTGCTTCTGGCTCTGCACTTAGGAAGGAGTCACTCTTGGCGGGGCTTGGGGATGGAGCCGGGATCGGCGGCGTGCAAGGCCGTTGCCTTACCCTCTGGACTATCTCTTCGGCCCGACTTGGTGTTGTTTTCTGCTTGGTTTTGTTTCTTTCTTGAGCGGATAAATGTCTGCTGGGCCCTGGGAGTCCACGCTGTCCGTCCCCCTCAGGCTTCCTCCTGCACCCTTCTCTGTCCACAGTGAGGAGAGGCTGCAGGCAGAAGCCCCGGCAGTGCAAAGGCCCTGGGGTCAGAGTCAGGCAGAGATGCCAGCTAGCTAGTGCCTCTCTTCAGACACTTAGGTGATTCCTAACCGCCCCGTCCCTGCTCCCCAGAGGGAGGCGGCCCTGGGCAGAGCTGAGAGGGGGCCACTGTGTGTGGTCCCAGCTGGACCCTGGGCTGGGGACGGCTCCCGCCTGCTACTGGGTCCTGCGCTGACAGTGCTGGCCCTGCTGGCCTGTGTGGCTGTGACTGGACCACAGTGGCCTGCTGGCCCGGCCTGCTCCCACTTGGCCCTACCAGTGCTGACCTCGAGTCTCTGCATTGGCCGCCAGCCCCTGGCCTCTCTCCCTCTCTACGCGGTGCCCAAACACGCTGATGGGTTTAGCAGGGCCGGGAGACCTGCCTGGACTCTGACCTGTGTGCGCCCGGCCAGGCTGCCGCAGCTCCTGACGGCCAGCGGGAGGCCCGGGGCTGCCCAGCCATCTCCCTTGATGCCAGCTCTGCACCCAGAAAACCTGCTCCTCCCCATTTCCGGGCCGAACTTTCCAGAAGGCCCTTCCCTGACCCTGGCGCTTACGCTCCCTCAGTACCGCGCCTCTGTGACTGCCCTTGCCTGTGGGGGCTCAGTCCCTCTGCACCTGGCCTGGTCTCAGGCAGACGACTTCTTGCAGAGCCCGTCTGGCACAATCTGCCCCAGGGTCCGTGGAATAGGCTCAGAGAGGCCCAGTGATCTGTGGCAGGACGCACAGAGGACCCCAAGGCTGGGTCCCTCCTGGAGTGACTCCGCCGGGCCTGAGGGGCCCTTGGACCCGGCAGCTCCTGTGTGTCCTCTGTGGACTTTGTTTTCCCAAATTGGAAGCAGCTGCTTGAGATCGGCCCATCGCCCCAAACGGGCCACGGCTTTCCCGAAGGGAACTGTTTGCTCTGGGGCCGCGGCTCTCGCGGGAAACAGCTCACGGATCATCTAGAATATCGCTGGGGAAGCTGAAATGAATCCGTGCGGGCGGCACGGCTGAGCCCCTAAATTGGTTCCAGTCTCCTCCCGCGCCCGTCCCTGTTCGGGTGTCGCTTCGCGTCCCTGCAGGCGTTTCCCAGGGTTGCTTCCTGCCAGGCCGAGGGAAACCCTGAGCCCTGAGTCGAGGGTCCCTGTGTCCAGGACTCCAGAGGGGCAGTCACTGCGGCAGGGCACACGCGGGCGCCAGGGGTCCCTGCTGGAGACGAGAAGCCCCCACCAGCCTGAATCCCTCCAATCCCTTCCCTGTCAGGGGCCCACGGCCCAGCTCTCTTGAACCCACGCAGGACCTGCTGCAGGTGACAGGACCCACCAGCCCCTGGCAGTGATGGTGCCCCAGGATGCAGGCAGAGCGTGGCCATGGGCCCTGCGGGCATGCGGGCGCTCAATGGCTAGTGCTCCCTCCCTCGGGCGCCAGCACTCAGCAGAGGGGCCTGCAGGACATGCCCCACCAGAACCCCCAGGCATCCCGAGGGCTGTCCACAGGCCCTGTGCTCCTGCCACGAGGCCTGGACACAGACATGTGGATTTGTAGGCGTAGGCGTGGAGAAAGGCACGCGGAGAGAGATGTTTAGACACAGGTGTGGACATAAACCTGTGGACATGAATGTGTAGACTAGATGTGTGGACACAGGGACATGGATATAGGCACACAGATTCATGGGCACAGGTGTGGACATAGGAGGGTGGACACGTGTGTGGACAGGCACACGGGAACATTCGGAGATGGACGAGTGAAGGCAGATGTGGACAGGAACATGGAGACACAGACGATGATGTGGACATGATGTACAGGCGCTAATACGTGGACAGAGACACGGTCACACATATGACAGCACGTGGACACCCACATGGGCATGGATGAATGTGAGAATGCAGACACAGACACGTGCACACCAGCATGAACATGTATGTGTGGATGTGGACACACGACAAGGTGATGGACACGACATTTTCCCACTCGCAGCCATGCTGACCTGCTGTGGCCACGATGGGCAAAGGTGCTGGCCCCGGAGTGTGGCAGAGGTGTCTGGTGGCGGGCACTGAAGGACTGAAATGAACACATTGCTCCAGCGGGCACCACGGCCCAGGAAGGCCTGGGGTCGGCCCCACCCGCCCTCGGCCCCGCCCCGCAGCACGCCCTCCCTTCGGCCCCGCCCCACCACGCCCTCATCCCTGCCCTGCATTGGCCCGACCCTCACCACGACCTGGTCCCGCCCCCTCCTTGGCCCCGCCTCTCCCTCATCCCTGCCAGTGTATTGGCCCCGCCCCTCACCCGGCCCTACCCTGATCCCCTGCCCCCGCCCCACCCTCAGCCCTGCCCATCTTGGCCCCGCCCCATGCCACGCCCTCCCTTCAGCCCCGCCCATCTTGGCCCCGCCCCACAGCCCTCCCTTGGCCCCGCCTCTCGCTCTCTGGCCCCTGCCCCGCGCCCTGCCCTCCCCTGGACCTTTGCCCTGCCCTGCTCTCCCTCCTGCTGCCCCTCCCCTCCCCTCCCCTGCCAGTCGGGCCTGCTTCCTCCTTTGCCCTCCTGGCCCCGCAGGGCGGAAGTGCCCCCACAGGCGTGTCTCATCGCACCCAGGCTCGCTGGTTCCCAGGGCCTCGGGAGCACTGGCATTTCGCACAGCTTTGGCAAAAGAGGAACAACGGGGAGGGAGGGGCGCCCTCCCCAGGCTGGAGCTCCAGGGCGGGCAGTGCCCACCCGCCGGGGCTCTGCGGGAGGAAGGAGGGCAGATGGCAGAGTGGCCAGATGCGCAGAGGGGTCAGGCGCGCGGCGCCCGGCACGGCGGGCCTTCTGGGGGACCGTCCAGGGGCCGGCGTGGTTTCGCTGTCCGGCTCCTGGTCACGCCACTGACCCACACACCGTCTCCCTGAGAAGTGCAAACCGAACCGGCGCAGGGTCCAGGGCCCCTCAGCCCAGCCCCTCACCCCTGACCCAGGGGCGACCCCCAGCCCAGCCCCTCACCCCTACCCCAGGGCTCCGCAGCCAGGGAAAGGCCCGGGGCAGGAGGCCACGATGGAGCCTGCAGCTTGAGGGGTCCGCGCTGGGCTTTGAGGCTACCTCAGGCCCGCGCCCCGACAGTGCCAAGCCAGGGGCAGGGCGACCCCTCGCTAGCCCCTGGGCTGGCCACGGCGAACCCTCGCCAGTCCCAGCCCGCCGTGATGTCCGGGCTGACCGGCCCCATCTATCCTCCCTGGGACCACCGAGGGCCCGCTCGGCCGTGCCAGGGCTCAGGGAGGCCACGTGCGCCCCCCTGGGTGCCGCCAGCGGCGAGCAGGGCCCGAGGCTCAGGCCAGGTCCTCTCCATCCACCCAGGTCCATGCCCACCGGGCGCCGCGCGGAACCCGGCTGCCGTCCGCTGTCTCGCGGCGCCCCCTGGCGGCCACCTGGGAGAGACGCGGTCAGCGCCCAGCCGGCACCGCCACGCGCACACTGGCACAAATGAAACACTTGCGTGTGTGATTTTGGGTTCTGGACCTCGCCCGGTGGTGCCCAAGGCTTACTCCTGGCCGTGCTCAGGGATCGTCCCAGAGGGGGCTCCGGGGATCTCACGTGGCGCCAGGGATTAAACCGGGGGTGGCCGTGTGCGCGGCAAGTGCTGACCCCTATACGACTGGTACCTCTCTGGGCCCAAGTAAGGAATATTCCAGACGCCCACACTGCCAGGGAAGCTGGGCACCACGGCGAGAAGGCGCCTGAGCTGCGGCTGGCAGCTCCCTGACCGCGCGGGGCCCACCAGCCGCCAGTGGCCGGTCGCGGAAGGGACGAGCCGCCAGGGACCGGGTGGCTTGAGAAACCGTCAGCCGGTGACTTTTATTTCTTAGAAAAGTGACACGGAAAGAGGCTGGCGAGGCGGGGGCTGCGCGCGCACGTGCTGCCGAGAGCCTCGGGGCCCGGCGCCGGCCGCTGGTCGGGGAACAGGATTTCCGCGTCGGACCGTCCCGCCGCCCCCCGCGCGCGCACCCCGCACGGCCCAGCAGGCAAGTTTAAGGCGAGTGCCCGGGAAGGGGCTGTTTGCTCTGCGCCGGGCCGTGCCCGCTGCTGCCCGCGCCCGGGTCCTCTCCCACGGTCCGAGCAGAACACGGGAGGCTGCTCTTTGGATCCACATTCCCGAAAGGCCCCGGCCCAGCCCCCCTCCCTGAAGCGCGGAGCTGCCACGCGCACCTGCACGCGCACGGCCGGACCGGGGCCGCGGCCGCAGGCTCAGTGCAGAGTGTCCGAGCTCCTCGGGGCCGCCGCCCGCCCGTGGAGCGGCCCCTTCGTGGGGGAGGCGGCAGCCCGGGCGGTGCCCACGAGGGCGAGGGCGCAGAGACGAGTCCCGCGGCGGCCCCTGCCTGCGCCACTGCGCCGGGGAGTGGCGTCCAGTTCCGGTCGGAAACCGACCTCGGGGCCCGAATGCAAGCAACGGGGGTGCGCCCGCGGCTGCCCCGGAGCCCCGGGAATCAAGTCTGTCGGCAAGTCCCGGCGCGGGGCGGCCTCACACGGAGAACTCGGGGCCCCCTCGGCGCAGCCGCGGCTGCAGCTGCCTGAACCGGAAGCCGACGAAGGGGTTCATCCAGAGCAGCGAGGGGGGCCCCCCGAAGACAGACTTCATCCCCTCCCACCGCAGCCTCCGCTCCCACGTGGGCTTCTCGCTTTTCAGTCTCTCGATCTCCTGGAGGAGGAAAGTGCAACGCCCTGAGGCCGGGGCCCCCAGCCCCCCTCCCCCGACCCCGCCTGCCCCACCCACCCAGCCACCCCCGCCGCGCAGGCGCGGGGCCCCACCGTCTCGTCGTTGCAGATGGAGTGGATCTGGGTGCCGAACATGACGGCCGTGAAGGTGAAGAACAGGAGCCCCTCCAGGCACAGGAAGATGAGCAGGATCACCGTGACCGGCGGGGAGAAGTCGCTGCACTCTGCGGGCGGCCGGCGGGGGCTGGAGTGCGCGCGCCCCTGCCCCCGTCCAACCCCCGACTCCCGCTGGGCTCCGCGGGGTCGCTCGGCCGCGGCAGGGCCCGAGAGTGGCCAGGAGACACCCCCCGCTCCCCCGCATGCACCGCCGCAGCTGAGTCCCCCGGGCACCCCCGGGCTCGGGAAGGGCAGACGGGGCTCACCTGTCCACTGCCCGCGCACGCAGGAGAGGAACTGCAGCCCGCAGAGGATCAGGGCGTGCACCGAGGACAGCGCGATGTACATCTGCAACGCGGCCCGTCAGCTCTGCCCCGGGGCGCCGGGTCCTGCCCCCACGTGCTCCCCCTCCCGGGGCGGGCGCCGGGGACCCACCCGCCCACCCGCCCCAGGCCAGCAGCGGGAGGGCCTGGCGCGGGGCCCTCACCGTGAAGAGCACGAAGAAGCGCTGGTTCTTCTCCCCCACGCAGTTGTTCACCCACGGGCAGTGGTGATCCATTTTCCGGATGCACCTCTTGCAAATACTGCGGCGGAGAGGGAGGCGGGCACTGAGGGGCTGGGGGCGGGGCGGGGCGGGCGCGGGGGCGGGCGGGGGCGGCACCTGCAGTGGTGGGCGCGCTCGGGCTTGATGCAGCAGCACTTGGGGCACTTGTACAGGACCTCGCCGGGCTTGAGCTGCAGCCGCTCCAGGTGCTCCTTCGTGGCGTTGCCCTTGGGCACCGCCCCCTGCGGACAGCGGCCGTCGTGGGCAGCGGCCCCGCGCGACGCGGGCGCGCCCCGCCCCCACGGGCACTCACCGGGTCGGTGAGCATGGTGCGCAGGTGCGAGCAGAGCGCCAGCGCCGCCAGGCAGTTGAAGAGCACGCCGTTGAGCACGGAGTACCAGAAGTCGCGCGAGGGCCGCAGCATGACGAAGGTGACCACGAAGTCGGCGTAGACCACCAGCAGCCACGTGAGCACGGCGCACACCATGCCGCAGCCGTCCCGGATGAACCACACGCGCTCGGCCGCGTCCGCCTCGGCCCCGGACGACGAGGACGAGGACGAGTCGTAGCTGTCGGCCTCGGCCAGCAGCGGGTGGTGCTCGACGTCGCGGAGCCGGTGCCCCGACGACGGCATGGTGCCCCGCCGGCTGCGGGCCCGCCGTCAGCGTCCCGCCCCCCGGGGACACTCACCTCGCACCCGGGCGACCTCACCGGGACATCCCGCTCGTGCTCGCCGGGGCGTCCAGACGCGCGTCCCGGGCGCCGGGACCTGAGGGGCGCGGCGAGAGGCGCACGGACTGACACCCGAGCCCACGCCGCGGGGCACCCACCCCCTCACTCCCGGCCCACCCCGTCCGGGAGAGCCAGGGGCGCGGCCCGGACCCCAGCTGCGGCGGCCCCAGAGCGCCCAGGGACTCGGGGAAGAGGTCGGAAACTGCCGAGATGCACAGCAGAAATGGCACCAAAGCAAAGGACGCGCCCGGGCCCCCCACGGCGCGGGGACCGCGGCCCTGGCACGGGAAAGGGAGGGACTCAGACAGGCTCCTGGACCAGCAACCAGGGCAGGGCGGGGCACATGCAGGACCGGGGCAGGTGGGGCACTGCCCAGCAGGACAGAGGGGAGGGGGCACCTTGCAGACACATGGCCAGCCCCCCCCCCTTTCAGTGGGTGGAGACACAGGGCAGGGGGCCCAGTGAGCCCCTGGCTTCTACCTGGACAGCCTCCTGCCCACCCAGCCCAGCCCTGCTCTCGCCGAGTCCTTGGGCTCTGCAGAGCGGCCGGGGCTCAAACCAGTGCAGGCCACGTCCAGGCCAGACCTGACCCGGCCGGAGACAGGCGCCACACCTAACCCCTCACACACGGGCAGACACCCCTCTGCGTCCTGACAGTTTCACTGCTCAGCTGGGCATGCCCGATGGTGCCACACAGGGCCGCGAGAGCCCAGGGACCCCCACACACGGTCAGCACGCACCGGAGTCTCTTCACAGTGACTCCACACCCGGTCAGTGTCACCATGAGCGGCCCCAGGCCTGGTGAGCACCATCTGGGCGCCCCGTCCAATCAGGCGGACCCTAAGGTGGTCGAACGCCCAGACCAAGCCAGCACCTTGTGCTGCCGGCACTTGGCTCACAAGCCCCCAAAAAGCAGAGTCGCCCCGAACAGCCACCACCGGGATGGGCTGCTTCCTGGCTAAGGTCACCTGTCAGTGCCCACGGGGAAAGGACGCCCAGGGACAGAGCCAGGAGCAGCGGGGAGACCCCCAAGGGCGCTGCTCCCAGGAGAGGGGGCCCCTCCCCGCAAAGCCACGACAGAGCTCATGCCTTCCAGAAAGCCCTCGGCGCCTGAACTCCCCGGGAAGAGCCCGCAGGGAAGGCCAGCCAGGGGCCGCCTTTCTCTCCCTGTCACCGTACCCCAGCCCCACAGAGAAACGCATGACCCCAAACTGGGACCCCATGGCGGAGGAGAATCCCGAGAGGTCAGCTTAAGGCAGGAGCCTCCCGACGGGGAAGTCCGGGGCAGACCCTGCCCCCACGGCCGGGCGCAGAGCAGATGCGCTAAGTGTGAGCCCAGCGAGAAGGCGCGAGGAGAGGGTGGCGGGGAGGGAGGGGGCGCCAGGCCTGAAGTCAGGCGGCTGGGCCAGGCAGGGGCTGCGGGGCCAGGAATGGGGGTGCAAGCACACAGCAGGGCTGCCAAGGCTTCCCGCGGCCGGGACCCAGCTGGGAGCCTGCAAACTGCGGCCCCAGAGCCAACGCCCAGGCCCTTGAGGACCCCCACTCTGTCCCTGAGTCCGGGCGGTCTCCGGCTCTGGGTTCTGGGCACTCCCTCCTGCCGCTGCCCGGCCCAGAGCCCCACCAGGTGCGTGCCCCCTGCCCTCGCCCCCCAAGAGAGGCACGCAGCCGGGCAGCCAGACTCGGCAGACTGGACTCCCGGTGCCCAGTTCCCCGCTTGCACATGGTCAGGTGCCACCAGTGCGCCCAGGACAGGAAGTGACAGCGACGGGGGCCACTGGGGTCCTCACGGGTGGGATGGGGCCGAGACATCAGGGCAAGATCAGAGCTGAGCTGGAACCCCGGGAGGCGAGTGCTGCGGCCTCTCCTGGGCAGTGAGGCGAGGGTGCATGGCCGCCCGGAAAGGGCCCCGCGTCCTGCCCAGGCTTAGGGTGCGGCTGCCCGCTCCCCTGGGCCTGGCCCTGCTCTGGACTGGCCGGTGCCTGCACATGGGCCTGTCACGCCTGACCTCGAGCTGTGCAAGAGAGCGCCTTCTCTCTCACGCGGCTGGCAGGCAGGGAGGTTCTGGAACCATCCACGGCTGACTTGAGTTCCACTCTCGTTTTCCCCGTGCAAGAAAGGGCACCTGATTTCTCTCCTCAGTGCCCTGGACTGAGCAGGGGCCATTTCGGGAAGGACGGAGCGGCGTGCCCCCAGCTGTGCCCCCAAACAGACACAGGGGAAGCAAGAGCCCGAACCAGGGGCCGGGGGCACCGCACAGAGCCCACCTGGGTTCGGTTCCCAGCACCGCGGACGGCACCCGCGCCCTGCCAGGCGTGACCAGAGCGTGGCCAGCGTGGCCCGGGCTCGAGTCCATCTGCCCCGGATTCCTCTACAGAGTTTTCTTATGTCCTTTCCCTGAGAACACGCCCACTCCTGCACCACCTGACCTTCTAGACGGTTCTCTGGCCTCGGAGCAGGGACTGGCCGCGGCCGGCTGAGGTCCGAGCATCGGTCCTAGAACCTGACCCTGGGTTGCCCAGGCTGTCCGGAGGAGACAGGTGCACAGCCGGGGGGAGGAACTCCGGGGGCACCGAGCCCGCCTTGGAGGGGGGAAACGGGCGGGACCCCTGGAGCCCCCAGCGGCACGGGCAGGGGGGATCGCGGCTCCGGGGGGCGCGCGGGAACCGGCGGGCAGGGAAGGAAATCAGCGCCCCGAAGCGGAGGCGCCCGGCCGGGGGTCCCGTGCTCGTCCCCCGCCCAGCGCCCGCCGGAGCCCCCCACCCCGGGAAGCCCCCGCGCCCACGAGCCTCTCGCCGGGCCCGAGTCCTGACTTCCGGGCAGGGGTGGGGGACACTCTGTGCCGGTGGCCGCGGCCGGCGCCCGCGATCGGGGCAGCAAACGGCCAGCGCCCGCGGCGGGAGGCCGGACGGAGCCGCAGCGGCCGGGGCAGGTGCCCGGCCCACGCCCCGCGCCCCGCCCGGCTCGTAAAGCGCGAGCGCCGGGCACAGAGCGCCGGGGGCAGCGGGCAGCGGGCAGCGGGCGCGGGCGGCGGGCGCGGGCGGCGGGGCCCCGGGGCGGTTCGCGGGCGGCGGGACCCGGGCCCCCGGGGCGGCGGCGCCAAGGTCAGGCCGGCGGGGCCCGCGAGGGGTGGCCGGGCGGGCGGGTGTCCGCGCGCGGCCGCACTCACCCGAGGCCCGGGGGTCGCCGGGCGCGGCGGCTGCTCCGGGCCCGCGGCGGCGGGGGCGCATCATGCGGCCGCGCGCATGGCCCGGCCGAGGGCTCGGTCCCGCCGGGCGCGGGCGACCACGGCGGCCGGCGGCGGACACGGGAAGCCGGAGCCCTGCCCGGAGAGCCGGGCGGCGCGACCCCGGAAGTGCACCGCGGGGTCAGCGGCGCCCGCATGACGCACTTCCGGCCGCGCCGCGCCGCCGGCCCCGAGAGGCGCGTCGCCCGGGGTCTCGCGGCCGCGCACCTGGCCGGGCCTCGGGGTCAGCGGGCGGGGGCTCGGGCCGGGCCGGACCTCGGGGTTATCGGGGGGGGCTCGGGCCGGGCCTCGGGGTCAGCGGGGAGGGGGCTCGGGTCGGGCCTCGGGGTCAGCGGGTGGGGGCTCGGGCAGGGCCTCGGGGGTCAGCGGGCGGGGGCTCGGGCCGGGCCTCGGGGTCAGCGGGCGGGGGCTCGGGCCGGGCCGGTCCTCGGGGTCAGCGCGGGGGGCTCGGGCCGGACCTCGGGGTCAGCGGGCGGGGGCTCGGGCCGGGCCGGACCTCAGGGTCAGCGGGGGGGGCTCGGGCCGGGCCGGACCTCAGGGTCAGCGGGGGGGGCTCGGGCCGGACCTCGGGGTCAGCGGGTGGGGGCTCGGGCAGGGCCTCGGGGGTCAGCGGGCGGGGGCTCGGGCCGGGCCGGTCCTCGGGGTCAGCGGGGGGGGGGCTCGGGCCGGGCCTCGGGGTCAGCGGGGGGCTCGGGCCCACCCTGCGCCGCCGGCCGCGTGCCTCCGACGGCGGGACCCGCCCGGCCCGGCCCGGAGTGGCCCCAGCACCGCTGGGACGACGCCCCGAGCTCGGCCGGGTGTGGCCCCGAAAAGCAAATCCAGAGTGCCGTGGGCAGCCGACCCGGCGGAAGGCACAGGTGCCCGTTTGGGCCACGCCCGGACTACGGTGGCCCCTGCTCCAGGGACGCCTGCGCAAGCGGTGTTAAGGGGTCACCTTAGTTTGGCGGGGGACCCTTGGGCCACTCCAGAGATGCTTCGCAACCCGGACACACAGCCCGGCTCTGGCCTGGGCAGCGGGTCCTGCTGCTCCTGCCCAGCCCCAGGGGTGCCCGGGTGGCGCCTGGAGCCTGGAGGACAGTAAGGCCTGTGTCCCCGACTTCGGGCGGTCTCCTGGGCCCCCTTAAAGGAATAGCTTGCTTCGCAGAGGTGCTCAGGAGTAGCTCTAGGCTCAGAGGTCACTCCTGGCAGGGCTGGTGTCCATGTAGGGTGCTGGGATTGAACCCGGGTGGGCCGCGTGCAAGGCAGGCACCCCGATTCCTGTCTTGCTGCTCTGGCCCCTCTTCTTGCACTGTATTATTTCCCAAGAAATAAATAAAAACTGGTCTCTTTTACCTAGGAGAGGGAAGCCAGTCCCTGGGGCCAGTTGTTTTGTGTCAGTCTGGAAGGGCCGGCGGCCGTCACAGCCAGGAAGAGACCCCACCTAGCATGTAACTCCACAGGCTGGGCCAGACCACGCCTGCTTGCTCCTTAGCGACACTCCAAATCTTCCTTATCCAGTTCAAAGTCTTAAGCAAAAAGCAGAGGGTGGAGGGGTCCTCCCCTGCTCTTTCTCCTTAGTCCTCACGTTTGTGGGTGTTGCCTGTTTTTAATTACTGGCAGGGCTTGTTTATTGCCACGTTAAAATTGCACCTTTGCTGAAAGGAAAGAGCACAATAAAAAAAAAAAGTCACCCGCAGCGCGCGCCAGGGAGTGGCTACGTCCCTGTCCGGCAACAC